CACCCCCACCATTATTGCTTCTCAGCTTGTTCTTTTTAATCTCTTTTACATCTCAAAGAGATTGACTCAAGATATATCCTATATGAGCTCTGCCTCATTAACAAAACAAACACAAACCACTTCCAAATGGGATTATAACCACAGGCCACAGGCATAAAGGTTAGGAATTATGATACATATTTTTTGGGGACACAAGTCAATCCATAACATGTATCCAACATGATCAAAGTAAACCATTTAATTCTCTGATGGCTTCAATTTTCACAGAAAACATTCAAAAGGATTTAATCAAATGTCAAAATTTAAAGGCTTTTAAAATGTCCTTCAAATCTTAAAATTTCATATAATTTTAAGATTCTTTGGAATATTACAAGGAGATCTGGTGGCACAGAGCATTTGACAAGTTCATCTAATCCAGCACCTTTAATTTATGAATGTATAAAGTGAGGTCTGGAAACATATGAGGGCTTGCTAGGTGGTACTGAACTTTAGCTAAAAAACTCAAGGATACAGAAATACCATTTGATCTAGCAATCCCATTACTAGGTGCATATCCTAAAGACGTGAAAGCCAAGACCAGGAATAGATAATATGCACATTCACACTCATCACAGCACATTCACAATACCAAAGACATGGAAACAAGCTAAGTGCCCATCAACAGACAAATGGGTAAGCAAACTGTGGTACATGCATAAAACGGAATACTATGCAACCCTAAAGAATAATACAGAGAAGTTCCTGTAAGATGGCGGAATAGGCAGACAAACTACACAGACCCTCTTCAACAAAGAAAAGGGGAACCAATTAACAAAGATACAGAAGATAATCCTGGAGCCCTGATCTTTGAAAGGAAGGATGTAGAAGTGGATTAAACTCCAATTAGTAGAAGAACGTGCACAAAAACACCAAAAAAGGAGACATATGAAGCTGCCGTCTATCAGAGATCCTGATGGCACAGACTGCTTGGATATTGCCAAGTGGTGTTAGGACTTAAAAATTGGCCTTGCTAGCCAGGGGTTGCACAAAGGACTGCACTAGTGGCTGGCAAATAAAAACAGTGAAGAGACAAGCTGAATTGTACACTTTTGGCTGTCTGGAGGGCAGAGCCATTTTGAATGTTTACAGGCAGTTCGACCATTTTGGGTATTTAAAGCACCAGCGTTCTCTCAGATGCCAGGCACCTAAGAATAGGCTTCACTTGCCAGGGACTGCAAGGACATTCTGGACACGAATGACCGGAAAGTTAACAATACAACGCCATAATGTCTCGGAGACAAAAGACCATCATAGTCCACAAAAAGAAGCAAGAGAAAGCAAGAGAAACAAGGGACCAGGATACAGACCCAGAACATATAGCTGAGGAAGAAGCAGCACTGGAACTCCCTGATAAGGAATTCAAAAGAATGATATTTAGCTATCTTCAAAGGATTGAAAGACAGATCAAGGAAAACACTGACAAAATTAAGGAAAACGCAGACAAAACTCTAGAACAATTTTGGAAGAAAATACAAGAACAAAATGAAAAATTAGAAATGATTGAAAATCTACAGACAGAAATCCAGAAGATTAATACAAAATCTTCAGAAATAGATAACACATTGAGAGGGCCAAAGAAAAGAACAGGATCAATGGAAGACAGAATTAGTGAGACTGAAGACAAATACCTCAATACTTCTCTGGAAAGGGATCAATCAGAAAAAAATCAAAACAAAATGAAGAAAGCCTAAGGTTCATGTGGGATACTATCAAAAGGAATAACCTACGTGTAATCATAATTCCAGAACAGGAAGAGAAAAATAAAACCACTAAGAAAATTGTCCAAGATTTGCTGGAGGAGAACTTCCCTAATATGATGAAAGATGAGAATATATCCATTCAGGAAGTCCAACAAACCCCAAACAGGATAGACCCCAAAACAAAACCACCAAGACATATCATC